GGAGAAGCAGAAACGCGGCTCCCCCAAATTTCCCTTTCCGCGTGGACGGGGGAGAAAGAACCAGGGAAGGGGGGAGGAAAAAGCCTTTGATGTTTTGCTCCGGATCTCCAGACTTTCTTTTGTTGGGGGGTGGGGCGCTTCCAACACCCTGCACTTTTCAACTCCTCGCCTTCCGCGAACTTTTCTGGCCTGTGGGGTAGAGGCCCCCCGGTCTCTAAAAAAGAACCAAGTCCCCCCCCCCCCGGCTTCCTTCCAAAATATCAGTCGTAAGGCGGCGCGCAGACCGTCACCTTTACCAAGGAGTAATTCCGTGTCTTTTTTATTGGTTCGCCTGCTTCCTCACAACCACGAAGCCCCGGGTGCTGAGGGCGCGACCCGGGTTTCTCTCTCCCCCCCCCCCGGCCCGGGCTCCAGGTGGTGGTGGTGGGGGGGGGGTCGAGGGAGCCCGGCTGTTAACAGCTTCTCCTTCTCCGGTGTGCAGGTCTGGTTCCAAAACCGTCGGGCCAAGTGGCGGAAGAAAGAGAACACGAAAAAGGGTCCCGGCCGGCCGGCCCACAACTCGCACCCCACCACCTGCAGCGGGGAGCCCATGGATCCCGAGGAGATCGCGCGCAAGGAGCTGGAGAAGATGGAGAAGAAGAAGCGCAAGCACGAGAAGAAGCTGCTGAAAGGCCAGGCGCGCGGCCTCCACTCGCCCAGCGGCCTCTCGGTCAACAGCAGCACGCAGAGCTCCGACAGCGACGGCGGGGGAGGCGGCGGGGGCTGCGGCGGCGGCGGCCTCTCCCCGGACCCGCCCGACGGCTGCAAGACGCCCTCCAGCAGCGTCCACCACCACCACCACCACGCGCCCTTGGCCGGCGGTTGCGACCCGGCCGCCGCCGCCGCCTCCTCGGCTTTCTACCCGGGTCGCTGCGTCGCCAAGGACCAGCCGGGGGGCCCGTCAGGATCGGAGTGCGCGGGCCCCCCGGCGCTGCCCGGCGGCGGCTACCCCAAGCTCAACCCCTTCAGCGTGGAGAGCCTCTTGTCGGACTCCCCGCCGCGGCGGAAAGCGGCGCTGGACTTCTCGCCGGCCCTGGCGCCCTGCGCCCCCGCGGCGCGCACCCTGATCGGCAAGGGCCACTTTCTGCTCTACCCCATCACGCAGCCGCTGGGCTTCATCGTGCCCCAGGCCGCCCTGAAGAGCAACCCGGCCCAGGAGGCGCCCCAGCGGGGCTCCCCGCTCCCTGCCGCCAACCCCAGCCCGGACCCCGCGCCCCCCAAGAGCAGCAGCACGGCCGCCATCTCCACGCCCGACGGCGGCGGCGGCGGCGGCGCCTCCCTGCCCAGGAAGGTGCTGGCCTCGCCGCTGGCCGCCCCGGGCTCCTCGGCCGCCTCCCCCGCGCCCTACGGCGGCGACCCGGCTTCCCAGGCAGACGGGAGCAGCGGCCCGGGGGCGCCCCCCAAGTCGCCCCCGAAGGAGGCCGCCCACGCCAAAGGCAATCCGGATTGCCGCACGACGGAGCGAGACTGTGCAGCGGAGAGCAGCAGTTTAGACTGTGAGGAGGTGGATATGGACTAGAAGAAGGGGCGGCGGGGGGGCGGGCAGATCAGCATCTTTATCTGCTAGATTCCTTGCGGGTTGGGGGGGGGGTTAAATGGATCAGTCGAAACTTCTCACATTCCCAAAGTTTTTCCTCTAGATTCTGCCCATCCCTCGGTTCGCCACCTCTGTTTTTCCATTATTCTTCTCGCCTCTCTTCACCCCCCCCCAAAAAAAAACTTTCCCAGGTTCTAACTTTGCGCTCTTGAAATCAGGTGACCGATTTTTTATTTTTATTTTTA